AAAATCACCAGAAATCACTTTGCATTATTCACTTATCGATCGTATATGGGTACCTGATTCATTTTTTCGTAATGCTAAAGAAGGTAAACGTAGTGATATAACAGTACCAAATCGATTAATTCGTATTCATCGTGATGGCAAAGTACTTTATAGTCAAAGGTATATTTATTTATTAATTAAAAAAAAAAGGTAACTTGTATTGTATGTCATTCTTTTTAGACTCTTACTTAAACTTGATTGTCAAATGAAATTACAAAAATTCCCACTTGATAATCAAACATGTGTTGTCAATATTGGCAGCTGTATGTTAAAAAATTTTATCAGAAGAACTTCTTATCATTTTCTTTACACGACACATAAAATACAAGGAGGATTTATGTCATTGAAAAAAGCTCGTCTTTTTTAATTTGAAAAAAAAAGAAGAATATTCATATATATATATTTATTTAAATATTTTATTAGATGCTTTTTCAACAAATGATTTGGCATTCTATTGGGATGAATCTCAAAATATAAGCGCTATTCGAGTTAATGAAGATTTGGAAATGCCTGATTTTGTTTTAAGTAATCACGAAGCTAAATATTGTAATCGAACAACAGCAACAGGTTAGTTACATGTCATTGATTAGTTGGTAAAAAAAATCTTTCTTCATTTGTGATGCACGTTCACTATACTGCTTATATAGAACAAAAAAACAAATTATTTTTTTCTTATATAAATTAAGCTTTCCTTCGCTGCACTCTTAGGCGTCTTTGCTTGTATCGAAGTGCATCTAAGACTACAACGAAATATTAATTTATATATTCAACAACTTTATTTACCGTCGACATTGATTGTTACTATATCATTTATCGGTTTTTGGATCGATTATAAATCTCATCCTGCACGAACTTTATTAAGTTTACTTAGTATTGTCACTATATCAACACAAGCTGCAGGTACAAGAAAAAAAAAAATCTCGTTTTTGTATGTGTTATTTCGGTTATAAAGCTAATATACACGCGCATTTTGCCTGCACACTCATTTTAGCACAAACTAGCATTTACACATTAATGGACTCTTTTTATTTTTAATAATCTTATTGATTTACATTTTATAAATTTTTCTTTTCTACTATCATTTCCCTTTCCGCTTTTTCCCTGATTTCTATATATATATATATATAAGCAGCATAAGTGTTTACATGAAGAAAGGTTTTTTTTATTCTTTTGTTATCGTTAGTATTTATGAAGAGCGTTTTTGAAACGAATAATTTTCTAGGCGCTTTTACATGTCTTATTGTTGTTCTCCATTTGAAACGTCTATTTGGGTATTATCTTGGTGAGTTTTTTTAATTATATTTATTATTTGAGAAAAACAACAAAAATTGAGACCTATAATTATTTCCTGTAGTTCAAATTTATATTCCATCAATGCTTATTGTGATTCTTTCTTTTGTTTCATTTTGGATCGATCATAAATCGGTAAGATCAACTTGAGATTAGCGTTCATATTCTCATCATATGTATATATGTATATTCAGGTTCCAGCCAGAATTTCAGTCGGACTTTTGACTGTTCTTACAGTTACTACTCAAAGCTCAGGTAACAATTATAATTATCATGATACCTCTGCTTATGTCTGGCTTTTGCTGTTTATATATGTTTTTTATTTTTCTAATTATCAAATAAGTATGATATATATTTTTATCATTAGGTATACGATCTCAACTCCCACGTGTGTCATATATCAAAGCAATTGATGTATGGATGTCAGCATGTCTTGTTTTTGTTTTTGCTGGTTTACTTGAATACGCCTTAGTCAATGTTATTGCTCGTAAAGGTGAATTAAGACAACAAGTTCGTTTTTCAAAAGAAGTAAGTTATCGATTTAAAAAAAAGTTTTATTTTCTTATTTTCTACTCTTTCTTTTTTTGTGATTATCAATACTAAATTTCGATATTGTTGTTTATTTTAAAACTATTTATTTTTATAGAGAAAAGGTCCTGACAGACCTCCGAAATTAACTTTAATTCAAAAACTCCAGAATGGCTCGACTTTTGCTGCCGAGAGAGTAAATTTCTCACTAAAATATGTTCCTTGTCTTCTTCTTCTTTCACATACCACCATCACATATAATTTTATATTTCGTTCTCAATCATTTTCACTACACGCACACACACATATATATATATATGTCTCTATATATTTATAATATATTATTAGTTCTTTTATTATATATAATTTCAAAAAACAAATTTCTTTCTTTTTGTATTGTATGAGTTTCTTTGTTGTTTGATATTTGGTTGAATGTCGTTTATAAATATATTATTCATCTACATATATATTGTTTAGGTTATTGGCAATCGTCTGGCTCAAGTACAATTTTATAAGAAAGAAGATGCTAATGATAGTGGTGAAACAATGGAAGCACTTGTTCATAAATCTAGTGGTGGTGATAGAAATACAAGTGGTAATACTAGTTCACATATTCAATATTCCGCATTATCAAACATGAATCCACCATCATCAAATCCAGCTACTCCAATACCACAGGTTGCCTTGTCACAATCAGCTACGATTGCAAAAGCTGCTTACCCTGTTCGTGACAGTGCACAATTTGTAAGTTAAAAGAACAAAAATTTTCAATTAATTTCTTTTATTAAAACTTAAATTTTTGTTCTATTTTTAAAGGTAGACCTTGTCTCAGCAGTTCTTTTTCCTGTTGCCTTTATTGTATTTAATATTATTTACTGGTAAATTTATTTGCCAAAAAAACAAAAATATTTTATTTATTTCTCTATTATTTAGGATGGTCTATCTTAATATGCAAGTTGAGTATGTTCTGAAATAAAAACTGACCACTACGCATGAATATTGACGACAATAGATCTATTCTTTAGTCGATCTTTACCTTAATTTTTTTTCTAATAACAATGCTGTTGTTTCGTTTTCCCTTATATTTTTTTCTCTCTTCTTTTTATTTTGTAATAGTCATCATCGAATAATATATGTAAATGAAGATGTTTCTTTTTTTTTAATGTGATATATGATGTATATATATTACATGGTTTGAGAAAAAAAGAAAAATTAATAATATATCTCTATTGACAACCAATTTGAGAAATCATAGATTGATTTTGTTTTATTTTTTCTTGTATTGTATTTAATTAAACTTTGAAACGATAAAAATGAATAATGATGATGAAAAATTTTTAAAAAAGAAAAATAAACAACAACAACATGTACGTTTTAATCTTCCAACAATCTCTTCTCAACGAACAAATTTAAAATGGACAAAGAAAGAATTTAATGATATATTTAAAAGATTTCAATGTTCAGTTACAGTTAATTATTGGCAAAGTTTGAAACAACGTATTATATGAAAGATTTAATATTGTAAATCTAATCTATAATAAATAAGTTGAAAAATAGACATAATATATTATTAAATATACATCTAGTAGATATAAACCTACTAAAAAACGATTTGTTAATATTAATAATCGATTTTCTTCTCATTGTATGACATAGTCGTGTCATGTTTCTTGTGATTGAATTAAGTCAACCATTATTCCTTTTCTTCTTATTAACTTAAGAAAGATATCATAGTTATAAGAAAAGATATTCCGTTTTTCCGGAAGACAGCACATAGAATTTATCTTAATTAAGTCATTCATTCAAGATGCATTCAGTTCATCAGTAGCAAAGTTTGTTGTAACTTTCATCAACGTACTTTAATATTTATTTCGATAGAAATATAAAATGATTTCAAAATAATGAAATGTCAACAGTGTAAAAATAAATATTAGTGAAATTAGTATAGACGACGTCATCAGTGCATTTCAAATAGAAAATTGTCAATATTAATTTTATATAATATTGTTCTTTGACTACCTTATTTTGTTTTTCATTAAGAAAAAACAAGGTCATTATGATTTTTCTATTATAAATAGTCTAGTACAACCATTTTCTCTACTTACAGAACAATAAGAAAAAACATACTATCGGAAGAGTTTTAAAAAGATTTATTATTAAAAAATTAACCTTGACTGATTATAAAAGAACTATCGGAACAAAAAAACCTGTAACACATTTCTATTTTTGTCTACTATACATTTTTCTATCATTTATATTTTCTAATAGAAAAAAAAATTGTGATTATATGAATTTAATAACAAAATTATATTTCTTTCACAATTTAAAAGCTTGCTTTTCAGAAGAATTTTATCGCAATATATATAAAACTAACAATCAGGGCGTGCGTGTGTGTGAACGAACATAAATACAGTCGATTTTGTATAATTATTAGTTGCAGTGTTTATTAATAAAACTTTTAATGAAATGAAACATTAGTATTAATTAGTTATAAACTTATTAGAATGCAAAAAGAAGTTCTATCTACTTGTTGAACATTTTTCAAAAATCTACTGACCCATAAATAATTCATTTGATCACTAATAAAGAGTTTTCAAGGTATAATCTAGGCTTGATACATCAAAGTTAAATATCAAATGTTATGACAGACATTATTGAATAGATTGACAAAAAACTGTCAGAAGTGAAATCATATTACTGCTTCAATGAACATATTCATTGTGAATAGAATCCATATAGATTACGACTTTTTAGATGAAATGTAACACATTCTACTAGTAATTTTTCATTGTTTATTTCATTTGAGTAGGAACAGAAGAATTGATTGATAGTGTACATTCTCTACATATATTGATTAATAGTTAAACTATTTGTTAAACATAGATCATTTACATCCTATTCTAATTGACTTGCTTATTTTCTTATTGTATATAAATAGCTTTTAAGAAATAGAAGAACATATTTTTATTTTAAAATCATGATATTTTATTCAATAATTGTGCTCGATTTTCTTCATCTTTATGGCTCATAGCATAACGTCGTTTATAAGGCACCCAAAATGTCCAGATAAGTATTAATACTTGATAGACAAAAAATATACTAAGAAATACGAAAAATGCAATACGATCTAAACGACAAAGCGAATATTCAGGATAAAGTGAAAGATGAAGTGAATTAGTTGTAATTGTTGGTTGAGATGTTGCTAAATATAATTGATTATAATAAATATAACTGATTATACCATGAAAAACATTTATTATACATAATGCAACAATAGATGATATAGCATAAACTAAAAGAGAGAAGAAAAAAAGAATTTATTAATAATAAAATCTATATACATATTATATTTACCATCTAATGCTGTTAAATATGATATTGTTCTTAAAAAATATAAAAGAATAAATAAATAAAATATCTTTTTTAACTTACGGAAGTGATTTATTAACTACCCATCGAAATGTTACCGATGTTAATAGAAGAGTACATGTTATTTGTAGACGACCATGCGTATTTGATGGTGGAATTGCAAATGTACAAAGTGCTGCTGATGTTATTAGAAAAATTAAAAAATATGCATTCCTATTTTGATTTAATAAAAAAATAAAAATTAGTTTAGTTTAGTTTATAAGGAGAATATTTATTTACCAAATATAATAACCACATTTTCGTCCAACATGACATGTACAAACAACAACAGGATGTAATTGATTATAATTTAATGAATATTCTTCTCGATGTTCTTCATGTGAGAATTCAACATGTTCATATAAATGCCATGATTGTTGATCACTAAAAACAGTTCGATTAACACCCGATGGTTTTTGAAGATTTTGAATAAAAAATAGATCATTTTTTGTTAATGGTGTTGTTATTGATAAGGATAATTCTTGTACATCATATGGAAAATGATTTAATTCCATACGTTCCCAAAAAACACCACGAATTTTATGATATTCTGTTATTTCAGTAATATTATCATCATCTGTTTTATTTGTCGAATACCATTTCTTGAGCAAAAAAAAGGAAAAATTCATAAAATTTTAATTGTAATATACAATTACATACTTCATGTCTTAATGAATCACCAATATGATTAAGTACAACTAATTGTGGATTAAAATGACCCATTTGAGGATCATATTTTAATCCAATTTTTTGACTTTCATCAAACCATGAAGCTTCAAAAAAGATTTCAGCGGTATATCGTTCATTAAGTGTATCAATTTCTCCAACACGAGAAAAAATACATCGAACACGAATTTCAATAGGATCTTTTTTATCTAAAATTTTTTCATTTTCATCATTTTCAGGTAATATTGGTGTTGTTGATTTTAAAAGATGTGTTGAAACATCACATTCATCTATTGAATTATTTTTTACAAATTGTTTATTTTCATCTTGTGTACGAATTTTAGTCGATGGAGAAAGATCATCTATAGGAGATACACTATTATGAACTGATATAGTCGTATGTTTTGATGATGATGATGACGTTGTTGTATTTAAAGTATTAGCACGAGTTGGAGGTAAATATGGTTTTGGAAAAATATATTGTAAACGTGGATATGATACTGCTGTTAATGGTTTTGATGATGAAATTACTGATTGAAGTGATTGAACAGATGATGCTCGACGATCTGTTTCATCATTATTCTCAATAACCTGTACGGCAGGTTCATTTAAAGAATTTTGATGTTGACATGGTGGTCGAAAACGATTATAATGAGCAGCACCAACTAATATAATAATAAATTAAAATATGAATCTTTATAACTATAATAAAACTTACGTAAAAGATTACTGCTTTCGTTCATTGCCATTTTTGTCTCTATGAATACTATTAAAATAAGAAAAAACGGTAGATATATATATATATATATGTATGTATGTATATCTATCATTAATTTAAATAAATGTCATAAAAATGATGATTAAAGGTTAAAATATGAGAAAATTATTGTTTAGTATATTATTGCATGTCTTTTGTGCTGACTTAACTAGAGTAACTAATGAAAGAATTTATAATATTGTCAAAGAAAAGACTTCTCTTCTTTTTTTTTCTTTTGAATTATGAGAAAGAAAAGCTTTTATTTTTCAAAATGAATTATTATCAATACATGACACTTACGAATTTTTTTTTTCTTAAATATACTAATCCATTAAATGTATTGTATGAATATACATTATATATTAGATTACTTAGAATTCTATTTAAGATATTTCTATGAATATCTGATTATTTGAGATGCATTTATTTCATAATAAAAAATATTAATGAATTGCCGTTTCTGTTTCTTTAATAAGAACAATAAATAGATATAGATTGGCAGATTCGACAGATACTGACTTCTTTCATGTATAGAACAACCCCTTTCTAGTTTTTCTGCTTATTTATTTTTTTGCAAGACAATTGTGTGGTTTATGACTGTTTATAGCATCCATCATCTTATACAGTTATTATACTATCGACAAAAAAAGCAACGGAAATAAGCAAAATAACTATCGCCTAAATGTTTCTACCAGGAATTCTATCAAGACTTTGTCAATATGCGTAATGGTGGTGATAATAAGTCGTTAGTCAATGATAATACTATTGGCCGATCAATAACATATATAATTGATATATTCTATGCGTGTTTTTTCACGATATATTCTATCTTTCATCTGGCATTGTTAGTTATAGTTAATGATACTCAATAATAAATAAAAATATATATGAATGTATTGATATCATGAATAAATAAACATTTCATATTTCTTTTGTTATATTACAATTATTTGAAGAAATACTTTCAATTCATCTAGACATCCAAAAAGGTTATATATTATATGTTGAATTAATAAGTAAAAAACTAAGAATAATCGAGAATATGAACAAAGAAATGAATTTTTTTTGCTAGATGAGGTAGTTGTATGTCATTCACTAATGTTGTTATATTGATATTTGACATTATAGTTTTTTATGTCGTTTTCTCTTGTTGACAATTTCTCTTTTCTTTTTAGTTCGTTTCGTTTTGTTATTACTATTCTAATTATTAGCCAAAAGTGTCTGCACTAATGAATAAATGTCGAGAGGAAAATTGACCTTGTTGGAATTAACTATCCTTTTCTAAGCATTTTTAAACGTCATTACTAATACGTACAGCCGAAAGCGCTATGATTTTAATTAAAATTAAAGAAATTTAGAAAATGATTCTATACTTTAATACACGTTTTTAAGGGAAAATCGAGTATACCGTAAATATATGTATGTTATTAAACATAAACAATAATAACAAATTTTGTTGTCTTGAAGAACAAGATTGATGTCTATGAGAATGAAACGAAGGCATTGATAATATCTATTATAAACATCTACAAACACATCTAGATTATATTGAAAGTTAATCTAAGGAATTCTGACATACCAGATACATTTAAAAATGAAGCAAAATTGCTTAAACTACGAATGATATCTTAATTTAGTTCGAAAAAAAAACAAATGGATGGAAAAAATGATACAGGAGAATAATTAGATGATATTTTATTTCAAGTTCTTGTTCAATGCAGATGATACCATGTTGCATACTATCAATGGTTTTACTATTACTATAAGAAAAGAAAAGTCCATTTAGATCTTTCTTATTAATGCAATGAATAAAATACAGTATAGATTTAAATGAATTTCCTCTCTCTCTATTTTGTTTACAATCATACTTTGTTTATTTGATAATATGAAATTCGAGACATCGCTTACTATATTTTATTTGACAACAAATACAGTTTCGAAGATGAGAAATTTGTATTTTCATTATCTACTTAGTACAACTTTTATTCTGGTCTGAATTTATCGATATCTTAACACTATTTTCTCTTTCTGATCACCTGAATAGACATATGACATGGGGATTGTTATATATTAATGATTTGAAAAAGATATTAGTTTCTATTGTAAATCACATATATAGATCCCGTGTTCAGCTGAAGAATTTCTTCACTAGTTCGTTCTCCCATGCACTCTGTTTCAGGTCAATATATAGTTTGATTGATAAAGACAGGTTTTTTAAGAACTATTATTAAGAACATTTTTTTCATTATAGAAAGAGGAAATTAGTCTGGAAGAGCATAGATATGAAACTAGGTATTGAACTAATTGAAAACATCAATAATTCTATCTATAAGTCTATACATATTCATCTTGACAACATATGTCCTACACTTTCCTGTTACATATAGGGAGTTAAGAAATAAATGAAATAGGATAGTAAAATAGGAAAGAAGTTGTATATCCAATTGCATCCGTCATGGAAAGAAAATAAATGTATACATTTGAATTATCTTAAGTAGGGACGTACCGAAGTCTCCAAGGCTGGGGGGGGGGGCGCAATACCCTTTTTGCTTAAATATAAGATCAAAAACCACGTAAGAACCCTTGCTTTTGATTTTAATGACCAAAAAAAACTAAAGTTTTTCAAAGTAGGGGGTGGGACGTAACGCCCAACGCGCTCCCTAGTCGGTACGCCCCTGATAATGGATATACCATTCATTTTCAGTTTGTTTAACCTCATCAACAGAGCAAGATTATATATTTTAATTGGAAAAGAATTGATGAAAAATGAATAAAAAATTAGGAAAATAAGTTGTTAGTATTTTTGTTAGAGTAATATGAATTTTGTAATGATTAAATAAATGTTATTGTTAAATATTCGTATCAGTTTATAGACAATAAAATATATGCGAATAAGTTAAGAGTTATTTGTAAATAAAATATAGTTTGATGTTCGTATATGTGTTTTATCAAAGAAAAGCGATTACAGTTGTACGAAATGTTCAGCAATAGTTTATTGAGGATGTTTTTATTTGAACGTATTTGGAGTAATTACTAAAGTTCTTCGACGTTTATATGACTGAATATAATCTTTTATAACTGATCGTTTTAACCAAACGAATAATAATAAAGATAAAATACTGATGACACCAAAAGTTAAAAATAAACCTGCCATTGATTCAACTGTCATCGCAGTACCAGTATCGTCTGTCTGTGAACAATCACCTCCTTCAAACCATTTTGTTCTTGAAGTATCAAAAGTACCATGTTCTCTTAATGATAAAAGAGTTACATCTAATTCTTTTGCATAAATCCAGTCTTTTTGATAAACAATACCAAATGCACTTGCATCAAAATCAGCTCCGACTAGAGTTAAATTACAATAGATATGAGTAGTTGCATATTCTACAGGACCAACATCTATAATTGATGCATCAATGACTCCACTTAATAATTTATCATACGCTTCTGTGATAGATATTAAGGGATAAAAGTTTCGACTACCACTGGATATTTCTTGTAAATAATAATCTTCTATAGATGAACCGACAAGAATACCAATACGGCTAAATGGTATTTTACCATTTTTAATATCATCGATTCCACTAACGACAGTTTGCGATTTTTGTATTGTTAAATCCGATGCTAAGTTAGCTGTATAAGCTGCTACTAATATTAAACTTAAAATATATAAGCCAACAGTTAATAATCGACCAGCAGCTGTTGTAATGTTAAAATCCGGTGCACATGCCAATACAGTGGCCATCGAATACCATACAGACATTGCACTGCCCGATACAACAGATCGATCTTGTAATGCTTCATTATATGGGCGTTCTATTAAAAAGATTAAAATACTTGCATATATAACAGTACCTAAAATAGTTAACCAAAGAGTACGTGAAAATGGTTTTAA